AGATATTTTGATTTTTTTCAAACTTTGAGCAATGATATCTCAGCAACTACTGGGCCAAATTCGATGAATTTTTTTTTTATTTGAATTCTACGAACCTGTAGAATGCAAAGAAAAAAAAGTTCATCGAAATTGGCTTGGTGGTTGTCTTAATATTTTCGCTCAAAGTTTTAAAAAAATGTAAATCTGCAGGGGGGTATGGTTAATAAATTAGGGGGGTATAAAAAATAATCCCCTTAATAAATAGTAAAGTTGACTTACTTCTTTTAAAAAATTAAAATTGTTTTCTTTAGAACTAGCCATTGTCTTGAGTGCAACGAAGCTGGATGGTTCACGCGTTCCATCATGTTTTCGTATACCGTCCAGCCAGGTTGCTAAATATACAGATCCGAATCCTCCTTCACCAATTTGTTTAACATCTGATAATTTATTAAACGGAATCCATTCTATCACTTCTTCATATGCAAAGGCTCTAAGTTGGAATTCTTTCATGCAATCATCAATATCTTTATTTCCACTTGTCCACCTTGTGGTTATGTCAGGATCGCACGATAGACACCATGCTGGTTGCGTGTTATTTTTATTACAACGCGCACATCTTCCATATTTAGATAATCTATATAATATATATTTATTTCGCATCGCCGTACGTACAATTTTAAATTTATACATAATGCAAATAATTTTTATACTCACCGACTAAATTAATGCGAGTGAAATGTAATGGTAAATAGGTAATTATGTTCTCGATTTGTGAACTTGGTTTGCTATTTTTTCGTAAAATTATTAAATGTTCTTTATACTCACATGCTGAATGATATGATTAATGCGAATGAAATGATTTATACGTAATGGTAAATAAGTAAATAAGCATTTATGTTCTTGTTTTGTGAACTCGTTTTACTGTTTTTATTTCGTAAAATTATTAAATGTTTATACTCACTCACTGAATGGAATGATTAATGCGAATGAAATAATTTGTATGTAATGGTAAATAAGTAATTGTGTTCTTTATTTGTGAACTTGGTTTGCTGTTTTTATTTCGTAAAATTATACTCACGCGCTGAATGATATGATTAATGCAAATAAAATGATTTGTACGTAATGGTGAATAAGTATTTATGTTCTTGTTTTGTAAACCTGGTTTTCTGTTAAATTATTAAATGTTCTTTATACTCACCCACTAAATTAATGTGAATGAAATCATTTGTACGTAATGATAAATAAATATTTATGTTCTTGTTTTGTGAACTTATTTGCTGCTTTTATTTCGTAAAATTATTAAATGTTCTTTATACTCACGTGCTGAATGATATGATTAATGAGAATGAAATGATTTGTAAATAAGTATTTATGTTCTTGATTTGTGAACTTTTTATTTCATAAAATTATTAAATGTTCTTTATACTCACTCGCTGAATGAAATGATTTTGTAAATAAGTATTTATGTTCTTGATTTGTGAACTTGTTTGCTGTTTTTTTTCGTAAAATTATTAAACGTTCTTTATACTCACGTGCTGAATGATATGATTAATGCGAATAAAATGATTTGTACGTAATGGTGAATTTATGTTCTTGATTTGTGTGAACCTGTTTTCTTGTTTTATTTCGTAAAATTATTAAATGTCCTTTATACTCACCGACTAAATTAATGCAAATGAAATGATTTGTACATAATGAATGGTGAATAAGTATTTACATTTTAGAATTATTAAATGTTCTTTATACCCACAATCTAAATGCAAATGAAATTATTTGTACGTAATGGTAAATAAGTATTTATGTTCTGTTTTGTGAATAAAATTAAATGTTTTTTTATACTTACGGGCTAAAATTATCAACCGATAAGTATTAATTCAGTATATTAAATTAATAAATAAATGTTCTTTATTCTTACTCCCTGATAATTAAAATTGTATAAGAAATTTTCTTATTTTAAAATAATAGATATAATCAAAATTAACATACTTTTCAATCCATTCATAAAATTTATCTTCATCTTTTTCCACGCCAATTCCATAATTGTAACAAATAGCAGTTTTTCTAATTCCCATTGTATTACCGGCTTCAGCAGACTTTAAATAATATGTAAACGCTTTATGGTTATCGATTTCGACTCCAATTCCTAAATAATAACAATATCCAACTTGATACATTCCAGAATCATTAATGTCTGCTGATTTTTGATAATGTGTGAATGCCTTTTCTTCATCCTTTTTGATTCCAATTCCGTATTCGTAACAATATCCAAGCATGAAAGAGTTTCCTTTTTTTGCTGAATTTTGTATATCAGAGAAACTTAACTGGTTAAATTCGGTTGTGATTTCGGTAATTTCACCAGATAACCTTTTGTTTGTTGACATTTTGAATGCGAAGAATAAACTACCCGGATGTGAACGCAACGAAGTATATATAATACGTATTTATACCAGGAACGGAGAACAAAGTACATGGAGTATGGTTTACCAGCAAGTTAAGTGGAGTGGAGTTGGCGATTCTGAGCGTCTGATTGGATAAAAATTCCTTGTGACTTATGTAGATCCCCGAACAAAGTTTAACACGAAAAAAGAATCTGTGCCCGGTTTGTCCACGTTTGTGTAACATCTACGTATGTGTCATATTAATAAAATTCGGAAGTCCTGTATAAAGATAATACGTAAGAATATTAAACTTAGCAAAATGAATTTATTTTAGCACAAAACGAATTGTTTTACGTTTAGCATGAAGTGAATTCATCTTATACTTGATTTATCTTATGCTTAACATAAAAGCATAAACCGAATTCGTTTCATGCTTATTTTATACAGTAAAGCCTCTATAAGTGCACGCTCTTGGGACCAAGCTTTAACAACGCGCACTTAAAGATCAATAAGAGAAAGTGCAATTAGTATCTCTTATGATTGTCGGTATAACCAACGAGTTTTTGATATATATAATTATTTATTGGCTGTCTATAACTGATAAACATGCCTATATCAACAAAAATTCTATAACTAAATTATATAATGTTTATTAGTGCGATTTGTTAGGTCTCTTCCATGATACTGATTGGTTGATTTCATGACGTCAATCATATGATAAACTTCGCATTTAATGCTACACATTACTGCATTACCTAGTTTACTTTTTAGTTCTTATTAAAAATGAGTAAGCCAAGACCGCGTTCATTTACTGCAATTCCATCCGAAGAATATTCAAATGAAGGCTCTACGATCGCGTCAGCAAAAGGATTACTGATTGAACAACAAGTTAGTAAGGTAATAAGTAAAAACTTTTCATATCGGCGAATTTACGGAGTTGGTCCTAATTGAATCTTCAAAGTTATCCGCAAAATGAATTCAAAATTTTGTAACACGTACATATAAAGATAATTTAACAATTAAGGATATACTTGCTGGCAAAACTATTGGGGTTTGGGACGAATTTAATTATATTTGAGATGGGATTTGGGATTGAGTCAATTTTATTATATTTGGGATTTGGATGGGATTCAAAAATTTATAATTCTGCCAACATGTATAGCGATAGTTAAGGGGTAAATAGATCCAATAACGCGCCCGTTATTGGATCTATTTACCCCTTATCCTGACGAAGTTAAATATTTTCGATCGTATAATGAGATGCATTGATCGAAATCAAACAATTTTGGCATCACCTGATTCGTCTCATCGAGTCGAGTCGAACGATACCAAAATCATTCGATTCTGATCACTACATCACGAAATACTTAGAGTTGAAATATTTTTTAAAAAATAAGAAAATTTTAGCCGTGGGGGTATTATGACGAATCGGGATTATCTCGTAGCTCCGTGATCAGAATCAGATGAAATTTGTACCATTCGACTCTTCTCATTGAGAGGAATCGAATGGTATAGATTTCACCCGATTCTGATCGCAGGATCATGAGATATCCCGATTCGTCATATTCTAGATATTATGACGAAGAGGGTACACGTCACACTAATTATACCGACATCTGGATATAACGACATCATAGTAAAATCTTTCTATATGGTGCAGGACATCTAGTCACATCAAAGCGCTGAATTTTGAAATATATATATAAATATATATAGTAGCACTGAAATTTTAATAATTAGTGCTGAATTTTGCTGAATTTTAAAATATAGTAATGAATTTAAAAATCCAGTGCTGAATTTTTAAAATTATATAATGTTTAATAATGCTGAAATTTTTAAAAGAGATTAAATAAAAAAAAAAAAAAAGAGAAATTGAAGTCTAAAAAAAAAATTTCATATACTAATTAATCTATTAAAAAATATAAGCACTGAATTTTTATATTTACTAATAAAATAAAGTGCTGAATTTTTTAAAATATTAATAAATTAAAGAAATTTTGAACCAAAATAACTTCTTAATAAAAGAACATTTTTAGAAAAACTCTCTATACCGATATTCTTTGGGTCTTAAATAATATTGTTATAGAAAGTTTTTTTTTTAATTGCTTATTTTTTTAAAAAGTTATAAACTTTTATTGCAAGCAATTATTTTTTGATGTGACTAGATGTCCCGCACCATACTGACATTTTTTTCAATATATAACTCACTATATCGACATTTTGAATTTTTTACTAATGTCGATATAACCAGAGTGGCTTGTATTATGGTGAATCAGAATTATCTTGTGATCAGAATCAGATGAAATTTACACCATTTCTCTCGATGAAAGGAAACGAATGATATAGATTTCATCTGGTTCTGATCACGGGATCACGTCATGAGTTAATTCTGACTCTCTCTTCGTCATAATAATTTTCTACAGTGGGATCCCCAGATTTCCGGGTCAGAATGGCCGGAATGCGTTGTGGTTAGGGTCGGGGTTAGGGCTGAGTTAGGGTTAGTGGGAGCTATAGGCTATAGTAAAATTATCAGCTAGGCACTTTTCACTTAATGAACGACTATTGTTTTATTAGTAAAATTCTTAGTGATCTTGGGGCAAAATTGATCAACTCTGGCCCTTCTGACTGGAATTCCGAAGCTTCTGACCCAGAATTCTGGAGATCTCCCTGTAGGAGAACAGGAGGGAACATTCATTGTTACACAAATTTTTATAATTGCCAAAAATTTCTGAAATTGATCGTCCAATTAAAATAATAAGCATTATATGAAAAATAACCAATCAAATTACATCAAATTACATCAATTACATCAATTTTACATCAAATTTAGCATTTTTTAAATTAATATAATAGTATTTACAGAAATTATGTCAAAATTAAGTAATATAAATATATTTATTAAATTTTTATAATTCTAAAAAAATTTTTGTTACATATTTTAATAAATCCTCTGTGATTTCTTCATTTATCTTATCTGCATTGCTCATATCTTCTTCTTCGTAAACTGGATTTTCACTAACATTGTCGATTATTTCATTTTCAACAAATTTATTAGTCATATTTACCTTTAGTGCATCAATATTTTTCTTAGCCTCTGCTTGAAGATAATCTAAACATATAAAGCATTTAAATTGAAACATTTGTAAGCAATAAGTATGATACCCATGCCTACACGCCAAAATGCTGCCATTATGTTGATCATAAGCTTGATCACAATAAATTGAATCACATAAGACAGATGTATTTGGTTTCTTAGAAGTAACGAAGCCTCTTGGAAAGTGACGATCTGTCACTTCGTAATTCAGCGAGGACAGTTGATACACGTTAATACTATCAGTCGAAGATTTAACAATAGGCTGCTTGTCACAATTTCGATACACCTTGGCAAATGCTTCTAAAAGCCATATAGAACACTTTTGAAAAAGCATATTTAACTGTTTTGGTATATATGGATATTTTACCGAATGGATGAAATTTTGTTGAAAAGCATTATCACGTCGTTGCTGAAAAATGAAGTGTACTTCCTTTCGTAATTGTTCACCTGTAAGGAACTTGGTAGTATGTCTTCGAATAATACTATGAGCATTTTCTACAGAATAATCACTAAGAGAAGCCAAATGGTTAGTAATCATATCAATTATTGGATAACCAATCTCCATCTAGTAAAAAACATTAGAGAAAAACATTAAAGGAGCATGCTTATAATTTTTTCGATCAAATTGGAGAAAAAGATCAGACCAACAGCACATGCATGCCTCCTCATAAGCTGGCCAATCTCCTTCCCGATGATGCATGGCATAAATGTCAAGAACTAGTAGAACTAAATTACTTAATAGGTCAGTTAGATATAGAAATTCGATGTTTTTACAAGTAAAACTAAATTTTGAATAAACAGTATTAGCAATATTAGACTATGCTATACGTACAATATGAAGAATTAAAACAATTCTCCATAGACATGGTGTCTTACCAGGATTTTTTTTTTCTCCAAAAATGCCCTTATAAATATCAATAAATAAAGATAAATTCTTCTTATAAACAAGTTCATGGGCATTAAGAGACACGTGGAGGGGCCCTATAATTGGCAAGAACGACGTAATAAATTGTGGGATGGTTTCGTTGTTAAGAAGGAGTCTTTGTGCAATAGCTTTACGAATAAAATACTGGCCCGGCCAGTCTGCAATAATGAGAACTACATAATCGGAAAGGTATGCTTGTATTGGCTCCTGGTTATATACAATTTGAAGAGAATTAATATATTCATTAATACTTTTTAAATTTTTTTCAATA